AGGCCTACACAATGTAAGGAAGGCCTAGGGCCACTTCCATTCTTTTTTTAGGCTTCCAGAATATTAAATAATTAATAAATGACAAAAAATGGTGTTTCCTTTATCTATCATGACCTAACAAACTACCCCCAAACTGAGTAGCTTAACACACAACCATTTATTTGCTCACAATGGTGCAGTTGGGATAGGACTCTGCAGAGACAGCTTGTCATCTCCGTTCCATGTAGCATATGGCTGTATTCATCGGGAGGTTTAGATGGGCTATGACATCCCTCATGGCCTCTCATTCTTCAGAGTCTCTCTCCAGGTGGCCTCTCATCACCCAGTAGTCTAATCCATGCTTCCACCATGGGAGTTGGATTGCAAGAAAGTAAAGGAAGGGGCTGCCAGGCCTTTTAAAGCCTAGATTGGGAATTGGTATGCTGTCATCAGTTCTATCACATTCTATGGGTTGAAGCATGTCGCAAAGCGAGCCTGGACTTATGAGGTAGAGAATAAACTCCACCATGGATTCCAGGGGCAGCAGGAGTCTACAAAGGGTTGTTGACAGTCATGTTTGGAGATTGTCTATCATTCCTGTAAAAGTTGTAGTGTTCTTTTTTCTTTCTTTCTTTTTTTTTTTTTTTTTTAGATTTTGTTTATTTATTTGAAAGAGAACATGAGCAGGGAGAGGGGTGGAGGGAGAGGGAGAAGCAGGCTCCCCACTGAGCAGGGAGCCCAATGTGGGGCTCCATCCCAGGACCCTGAGATCATGACCTGAGCCAAAGGTGGATGCTAACTGACTGAGCCACCAAGGTGCTTTATTTATTTTTTTTAAAGATTTTATTTATTTATTCATGAGATACACAGAGAGAGGGAGAGAGAGGCAGAGACACAGGCAGAGGGAGAAGCAGGCTCATGCAGGGAGCCTGACGTGGGACTCGATCCTGGGTCTCCAGGATCATGCCCTGGGCCAAAGGCAGGCGCTAAACCGCTGAGCCACCCAGGGATCCCGGTGCTTTATTTTTTAAAAGGATTTTATTTATTTAGTTTTTCTCTTCCTGAGTCTTGACTGTGAGATTTGCAGCAGGCGCCAACAGTCATTCATTCATAAGGGCACTTGTTCTTCTCAAGTTTCTATTCTTCTGATTTTAGGCATAGAAAGGTAACTAGGAAGATTCCTGATTGTCTCCCTGCCAGGGCATCAGTCTCCCCATCTAACTAGTAGCAGCAGTTATCTCCTCCCACATCGTCTGACCCTCTAGAGAGTGATTATGGAGCAGGGGGCAGGTTATTAGTCTTCGTACTTGTCATGTAGCCACCACTCCTTATATGTAGAGTTGAGTCTCATCTGTAGAGTGAAATCATTCTAGAGCGCGCACACGTGCGTGCGCGCGCACACACACACACACACACACACACACACACACAAGACTTAATGCCAATTAGCAGTGGAGGTGACATGTCTTATTTAGACCAGAAATAAGGAGGATGCTTGTATGAGAATGTGGGGGTTTGGGGCATAGTTCCTATTTGTAGCTTCCATGGGTGGAGAAAAAGATAGTACTGAGCAGAATCCCAGCCAGGCCAGGTGCTAAAAAGCTGCATCAGCTCTTTATGATATGACAGAAATTACTGTGGGATCACAGACTGTTATTTGGGAGCATGTGTTCTTTTTTTTTAAGCTGTTTATATTTTCTGTAATTAGGTCCTTTTTGTTCTTAGTGTTTAGAGCATTTTTTAAATGCTAGTCTGGTCAGCTGTGCTAAGAGGAACCAAGAAAGAGGTTTTTGTCTAGTCTGGACCAAAGTTTTAAAGGGGAAGCTGCTTACCAACCGCCTGACATAGTGGAAACAATGGCATGCTGTGCCTGAGTGAGAGAGCCTCAAAGAGAAGGTAAACTGAGGGCAACGGAGTGGGAAACTCACGTTCAGGAGTTCTCCCCACACCGAGATGTATTTCTCAAATCTAGGCCCATATCTCCATCCACATTCTCTATTACTTCCCTAGTGACCCAGACAAGAGGCAAAAAGGACCTCAGTGAATAATGAAAAGGAAGACTGCACTGGGATTTGTGGCTCAGGGCTGGAGTGGGTGTTACTTGTGGTGTTTGCTCTCGAGAATAGAGCTAGCGAACAGAAAATCCAGTCTTAGCTGGGATACAGGGGAGGAAGTGTTCAATTTGAGCATGAACTGCTGGGAGCCAAACCGTCAGGAAGGAAGGTTACCAAATCTTTTTTCCAGGGTTTTTTTTTTTTTTTTTTTTTTTTTAAGATTTTATTTATTTATTTGAGAGAGAGAGAGTGAGCAAGCATGAACTAGGAGAGGGGCAGAGGGAGAAGTAGAAGCAGACTCCCCCTTGAGCAGGGAGACAGATGCCGGGCTCAATCCCAGGACGACCCTGAGATCATGATCTGAGTGGAAGGTGGATACTTAACTGACTGAGCCACCCAGATGCCCCCCCCCCTTTTTTTCTAGATAATGAGGGAGAGGACACACTCATATTTGCAGAAGATCCCAACCATTGCCTAGGAAGGGGACGAGCAAAGGTTAGTGGGCTAGCATGGTCTCTTAACCAAAGTGGGGCACAGGGAGAGCTAAGGTAGATAGCAGGACTCTAAAGCAGAGATGGGAGCAGAATAAAGCATTACCATGGTAATGAGGTAGGGAAAGACTGCTGATTGTGGGCACATGAAGACCAGGGACCACCCAAGCACTGTGACCATGAGGCTTGGGAGAGTTGAATCATTCCAGACCACCTCCCATCCTCCTCTCTAGCCTCCCTGGGCTGCTGCTGGTAGAGCTGAGAGCAGGCACCACTGTCACTGTCTATGTCCCAGGTTTAGTCTTGCCCTTGCAATCTGTTCCAGTTATCCAAAACTGAGCAACATGCTAGGCTAAACCTTAGTGGATTAAGACAACAACCGTCCTTTATTTTGCATTTCAGGCAGGGTAAGGCAAGGACCACTTTGCTCCATATTTCTGGGGCCCATGACTCAGATGGCTGGGGCCAGCAAGGGCCTGGCGGTACACGTCTCTTCCTGCAGGCTCAGGTCATCTCCCTATTGTCTCTCCTGTGTTCTCTAGCATAGAGATCTCAGTGTAGCTAGACTGAAAGGTGGCTCAGGGCTCCAAGAACAACGATTTCCAGATGTACCAGGCAGAAAGAAACTGCAAGGCACCTGTGATCTGACTTTAGAAGTTCCCAGATACATGATTTCTACCATATTTTATTGGTTTAACAAGTCACTAAATCCAGCCCAAATTCAAAGGTAAATATATAGATCCCACCTCTCAATAGGAGTGTCAAAGAATCTGGCACCATTTTAAAGGCATCTCACTGGGTCCTTAGCAAAGTCTCCCCACTGAACTCCCTGTCTGCAGATTCTCATTGATGGCACTGGGAGGCAGGAATGCACAAAGGTAGAAAAAGCAGGAGCTTTGGAGGACACTAGGCCTGCATTCCTGTTCCAGCAGGATCCACCATTCAGCAACTGGTTGAGCTTGTTAGGTTACTTACCTTTCAGAGCTGTGGTTTCCATGTGTCAAAAGGGAATGATACCACTATAGTGACTCAGAAAATGCAACTCTCAGATCTTCCAGTGCAGAGCATAACTGACCAACGGATCTGTCCCAGGGACTGAGATCTGAAGTCTGTCCTCTAATATTCACTCCCAGCCTGGTGCAGAGACCATGTTGCTGGGGCTGCTCCCATCCCCCGACTAAGTAAGAGGTCTGTTTCCCGGAGATGCCTGACTCCTGGGGCAGACCAACGTGGCTTGAGGACTGCCCTGCCACCCGCAGCCTTGCTGAACTTTCTAAGAGTTGCACTGTCCTATAAGAAGCTTCCTTCTACTCAGCGGTCCCTCTTGCTTGTCTACATAGCTCACATCTGCATCCCAGGTCCAGATTCCTGTGTATGTTTGTTTCCACATCAGTCTTTTGCATAGTGTTCCTGTCTGGCACTGCTTTCGGGGGTGGGGTGGGGGGGCACAAGTAGCCACAAAGTCTCAAGGCTGCGGTATGAAAATGGGTGTGTGGGGATCCCTGGGTGGCGCAGCGGTTTGGCGCCTGCCTTTGGCCCAGGGCGCGATCCGGGAGACCCGGGTCGAGTCCCGCGTCGGGCTCCCTGCATGGGGCCTGCTTCTCCCTCTCTCTCTGTGACCATCATAAATAAATTAAAAAAAAAGAAAAAGAAAATGGGTGTGTGTAAGCACCTAACCAAAGGCCAGTATATGGTTGACATTCACTCAACTAATGCTGCGTCCCTGCTGTGTGCAGGCTCTAGTCTGTTTGCCTGGGACCTAGTGGTGAGCAAAGCCACTGGGAACAGTGTCACCACCACCTGCCTCACGCTTCTTACTGAGTCTCACTGCCAGGGATAAAGTCCCAGTCTCCATGGGGCACGAAGAGCCTTTAAGTCGGACCCCAAGGAACCTCAACACCCCCTCCGCACCCTATACTCTGCACACCTGATCCGCTTCTTTTCGGTTTCTATTCTGCTGTTTCATCCCCGCGTCCGAGCACACTGTCCTCTCCTGAAAAGCCGCTCCCGCCCGCCCTCAGTGCCTCCTGTCCTCCGAGGCCGGGAGGACACGCTTGCGGGCACGGACCTCGGCCTGCGCCTCCGAAAAGCACGTGTCACAGGGTGCGGCGCGTGTAACCGTGTCCCCGCGAGACGGGGAGCTCGTCCGGGCGGGCGCTGCGTCCCCCCGCGGCCCGGCGCCCGCCCCCGCAGGCCCGCAGCTCCCGTCGGCGGAGCGGACGCGTGGCCGGGCGGGGGCCCCGAGCGGTTTTCCGGGGGTGCCCGCGGCCTGCGTGGGAGGGGCGGGCGCCGGGCCGCAGCGGGGAGCCCGGGAAGGGCGCGGGCGGGGGCGGGCGCGGGGGCGGGCGCGGGCCGAATCCCGGCGGCCGCCGCGGGGCACATGACTGCGGGCTCGGCCCCCGCCCCGCCCGCCTCCCCGCCCGCCCCGCCCCGCCCGCCTCCCCGCCCGCCCCGCCCCGCCCGCCTCCCCGCCCGCCTCCCCGCGCAGCTGCCGGCCTCCGCCTCCCCGGCTGCCGCGTCTCCCCTGCCGGCTGAGCGCGGGGGGGCCGGCCGCCGAGCCGGGGAAACCGAAACCGGAGCGGGCGGCGCAGGCCGTGGCAGCGGGCGCCTCTGCCTCCGTCGCCGCCTCCGTCCCCCCCAGGGCTGCCGCGGGCCGGCGGGGCCCGGCGGGAGCGGCGCGGGATGGGCAGGTGCTGCTTCTACGCGGTCGGGACGCTGTCCCTGCTCCTGCTGGTGGCCAGCATCACGCTGCTGGTGGCCCGGGTATTCCAGAAGGCCGTGGACCAGACGATCGAGAAGGTGAGGCGGCCGGGCTGCGCGCGTGCGTGCGAGTGTGCGGGTGTGTGGGTGTGTGGGTGCGAGTGTGTGAGTGTGTGTGTGTGAGTGTGAGTGTGTGTGTGTGAGTGCGAGTGTGAGTGCGAGTGTGAATGTGAGTGCGAGTGTGAGTGCCAGGGTGAGTGCGAGTGTGAGTGCGAGTGTGAGTGTGTGTGTGAGTGCGAGTGTGTGAGTGCGAGTGCGAGTGTGTGTGTGTGTGAGTGCGAGTGTGTGAGTGCGAGTGCGTGTGTGTGTGAGTGCGAGTGTGAGTGCCAGGGTGAGTGCGAGTGTGAGTGCGAGTGTGAGTGTGTGTGTGAGTGCGAGTGTGTGAGTGCGAGTGCGAGTGCGTGTGTGTGCGAGTGCGTGTGTGTGAGTGCGAGTGCGTGTGTGTGTGAGTGCGAGTGTGTGAGTGCGAGTGCGAGTGTGAGTGTGTGTGTGAGTGCGAGTGTGTGAGTGCGAGTGCGAGTGTGTGTGAGTGCGTGTGTGTGAGTGCGAGTGCGAGTGCGAGTGCGCTCTGGCCCGCGTGCGCGCTCCGTGCTGGCGGGGACGCTTCCAGCCCCCTCCCCACCCCGACTGCTGGACCCCGTGCAGGGAGCCCCTGCACCCTGGCGGACCCTCCCGACCAGGGCTCTCTCGGTTCTTGCTGGTCTTCTCGGGATTGACAGGTAAGGGTTAAAGGCGGATGGAGGCCAATAATGGAAAACTGTGGATCTAGGCTTTTCCAAACGGCTTTCATTTACGTTCTATCGTTTGCCTCCCCTTCCACGCCCTCCTTACGCCTCAATCTCTGTTGGGCCCAAATATATTTCCCTTCTACTTAATGAAAAAACAAAACTAACTGAAAAACACCACAACCAAGGCAAGTTTGTTGGCTGCCTGCTGTGGCTTTGAAGTGGTGTGGGGCAGGGGATGTGGAAGGAGTGTGCGGTCTATTGTGTTCTTGCCTTCCTGGACTAGGCAAGGCTGTTGGCAGAGAGGCCAGGCCTCTGGGCTGGGTGACATTTCAGCCCATCAAATCTGTGCGGGTTTCCCTCTGACTAAGCATGTGCTATCTCATACCAACAACAGTTTGTATTGCTTTGTCTCACCCTGGATTCGTGCCCTTCTTAAAACAACCATAAGCTTCAGACAAGGATGCATTTAGATTCTGGAAAGAATCTGAACCTGTCTGTGACACTACATGAGGGGGCTGGAGAGCTGGTCTTTTGAAAATTTATTTATATATTTTTTAGAGCTGGTCATTTTAGAAGACTTCTGAGTCACTTGACTTTACCAATGCTCTTTCCTTTCACCCACATCCACCAATCTGTGTGGAAAGAGGAACGAGAGAGAGATACTGGGATCACTTTTTCTTTAAAGAAAAGAAAAAAAAAAGAAATCATTGTTGCAGCCTTTCTCGTTAGCACCCATAGCCTGGTGCTTAATTTCTCCCAGTGGTTTGTATTTGCTGTTGCCTGGATGAAAAAGCCAGTTTGATCACTGAACTCCCTATTAGCCGAGTTGTCTCATTCAGGTGGCAACAGACATATTCCTTTAATAGAGGTTCCCAAAAGCCATCAATTACTTGAAATCTGGCAGTTAACGATAAATTAAAAAGTCACAGTAAACTAATTAATTTTAAAGTTCACATTATTATGGGAAGATGAAGCTCACTGTCTGAGCTTCCCAAAGACCACTGTTTTTCCTGAGCAGCCATGTTCAAAGGAAAAACCAAATATAATCTTCCCCACTCCTGGCCATCTGCAAACCATGGCAAGATTGTTTAAGGATATGGACTCTTGCTTGGATGACCAGAGTTAAGTAATCCAATCATAGTCAGTATGTGAGTCTTCTTGTGTGGCTTTAAGAGGCTGTTTCAGGAGAGCCCCATGAGATGAGCGGTCTCCCAGGTGCCTCAGATATCACCAGCCCTTAGATGCTCTGTGGGTCTCCATTTCGTGGGCAGGTAGGAAGGTGGCTATGAGGCAGCCTGCCTGGGCCTTGAGTTTGCGTTGATATTTGGTGATTGGCCCTTTTATGTGGTTTTATTTGTGAGGAATGGACTCCCTTCAGACTAATAAATTGTAGAACAGAGGAAGTAGACTTTCAGAATTGCCCAGCCCCATGAAGGAACACTGAACAAAGTAGCATATGAAATTAAATGATAGGGCTAGTTTTGGTGGACAGGAATATTGAAAGTCCGCCAGGGGTCACACGTTACCATCAATACCATTCTCTTCTCCTGGGTCACCTGTGGTGTGGTAGCATGGGATGGTGGGACAGAGTAAGGACCCCTAGACATGAGTCCTGGCTCTACCATGTACTCGCTGGGTCACCTTGGGCCAGGTGCTGAACTGAGCCTTCCTTGATTCTGGGTTTCCCTCTCGGTAAATGGGGATAATAACAAGTCCAGAGAATAGAAAGCTTATAAGAATTATTAGGGAAAACAGGTAATTTTCTTGGGATATAGTTAGTGCTTTGTAAAGGAGTTTTATTTTTGTTAGAAGCCACATGAGCACAGACAAAATACTTGAGATTTGAAGTCAGACACGCTGTATTCAAATCCTGGCCTTACCATCCGCAAGCTTTTTGATTCTGGGTAAGTTATTTAACTTCTCTGAGCCTCGATGTCATTACTTGGGAAAGTGAGGATGTTAGCCACTTGGGGACAGTGGTGCATTAACTGTGAAGCACACCAAGCTTAAGCTCAGGCCCTCACTTACACGGGCCCTTCTAACAGCCTGGACCTAATTCTGTAATCTAAAACTTTCTTTCTCTTAGGAAGGGTCTCCACACATTGTATAAGCTTCCCATGAATCCTGAACCTGCCTCTGTGTGTGTCGTTGGGAGATTGAGTGAGGTCATCTGTGTAAAGCACCCAGCACAGTATCAGGCAGGGGATGGGTGATCAGTCATGGCAGCCGCCATCATGTCCAAGGTGTTGTTACAGAACAATTCCGTCATCACTTGGCCTTAGTATACTTGTAATGAAATCCACTCTGATACTCTCAGTTCTTAGGGTTTTTTTGTTTTGTTTTCACTGGAAGATTCTCCATGCCCTGGCTTGTCTATATCAAAAAGAGAAGAGAGGAAAGGCATGAAATTCGAATGAGTGGGTTTGGCTAATTGTGAGAAGCGTGGTAACATAATTTCTATTAGAATGATTTGCAGGGAGGATTTTAAGATTAAAGGGAGATTGAAATTTTGGCCAGTGAATGGAATAGAAGGAACTAAGACAGTTTGGTTTCATTCTTGGCCTCACTGGTTACTGCCTTGTATTGGACAAGTCCTGCAATTGTTTTTGCTTCAATTTTCAATTGTAAAACAGGTATTCTAAGCATTAACCAGGCCTTCTCTGTCAAGCATTCGTTTTAATTTTTTTGTTTTTCTTTTGTTTTAAGATTTTATTTATTTATTTGAGAGAGAGAGAGAGAGAGAGAGAGAGAGCGCGCGTGGGCAAGGGGCCAGGGAGGAGCAGAGGGAGAGAGAGACAAGCAGAGTCCCTGCTGAGCACAGAGCCCAATAGGGGGCTCGATCTCATGACCCTGAGATCATGACCCGAGCCAAAAATCAAGAGTCAGAGGCTCAGTTGACTGAGTCACCCAGGTGCCCCTAAAGCATTCTGACTCCTCTGAAGATGGAGCTTTGCAGAAACCGTTTAATCTCTACCCACTCCCTACTCTCCCCCCTACCCCCCCACCCCCAGCCTGGAAGGGCAGATTTTGATGCCCTGGCTCACTTGGTAACTCCACTAAATGTCCTGGCCTCTAGCACAGTGCCTGGCCCATGGCAGGTACACAGTAAATGTCTGTTGCCTCACACCTTGCATAAGGCCCAAATGTTAATAGTTGTTATTGTTTGTAACTATTATTTTGTCCTCTGTAGGCTGGAGATAGATAAGTTTCCTTCTTGATCCAAACTTCTGAGATTTTGTGACGCAGGCATGTAAGCTTTGTTTAAGAGCTTTGCAGCTCTTTGCAGCTCAGCATATTAAATTTGCCCTTAGACTTACTGGGAGTTTGAACATCTCCCAGAAATGGGAATGCAGAGCCAGCCAGAGTCAGAGTTGGCTAAAAAGAAAAGGGCTGGCAAGGGAACCAGTGAGAAGGAAAGAGACAGTTCACATGTTTTGCTTCCTGTTCACAGGCCAAGGGAGGATGATAGCATTAGGTGTCAGGGATGAGACGAAGAGGACAAATATACTTCTCATTGGCCGGGACCTAAGACTCTAGGCAAGCAAAAACAGCTATAGCCTCTTTTAGGAGCCTATAACTTTGGAGCTATTTTGCGGATGCCTCAAGAAATAAAATATAATCACTGCTAATTTAACCAAGTAACATTAATGGTAGGGGATGCCTGGTGGCTCAGTCGCTTAAGCATCTGCCTTAGGCATAGGTCATGATCCTGAGGTCCCAGAATTGAGTCCCGCATCGGAATCCCTGCATGGAGCCTGCTTCTCTCTCTGCCTATGTCTCTGTGTGTCTCTCATGAATAAATAAATAAAATCTTAAAAAAAAAGATGATGGTATCAGATTGCCTTTATATTAATGTACCACTGGAAATGCAGATAACTGACTTGGAGAGGTAGGGGTAGGGTGAGGCACACAGTGGGGTCTCCTCACTTTTCCCATCCCAAGGATGACTATATACCCTGTCGCCAGCAACAGTCCTGCTTTATTTACACCTGTTGTCCTGGCATAATTAGTAGCACTCTCTTTTCTTTTAAAAGACCCCCGGCTTGAATCTTCAATTCTATCCTCTACCACATTGTCCTCCACTTCTTAGTAATAAAGAGGAGCAAGGAGCTAAACCCACTCAAGCTGGCTCCAGAATGATGAGACTTTTTTTTTTTTTTTCTGTAAAGCTGAAAGAGGAAGCTCATGGAAGTCTGAGGGTGAGAACCTAAGGCCTCCTGAGAGTACAGTAGAAACTGCAAAGTCAGCAGAACCTAGGCACACTTTGTGTCTCTCACTAGCTTCCTCTGCTTTCCCCTACCAAATAGTTTC